GAATTATATAATATTTATAATTATTTTTGTAAAATAGTAGAAACTTATAATAACAAAACAAATTAAATTAAAGAATATGTGCATATGTACGCGAGAAATAAATGCAAACTAAAAAAATTAAAGAAAATGTATAGTTTTATTAAAAATAAATATGGATACATGTTGCTACAACCCCTTGTAATAGGGAAGTAATTCCCAATAGACAATAAATGTTGATTGATATTTAATGAACTAAACACGAGTAAATAACAACAGTATAAAACTATCATACCAGGATTGTTCATGTTGCCATTTTTAAATTAAATCAGGCAGGAGAACTGCATTGGAGTATTCATGATGTCTCTGATTTTAAATTTTCCTTACAGTTGCGTGATGTCTCCACAGGTTATATTTTTAGATGAAACCACGAGGGCCATGGACAAAACTGCCAAAGATGCTCACGAAATATTATGACAATATGACACCATCCCTTAAGCACCATCTACTAAAGTGCTAAATTCTACGTTTGCTAGGTTAGTTTTGCGTGTTTTTCTCAAGGCGATTAATAAATTATTATTATTAACTTTTGTTCTTACTCTGATAGTGAAGTATACAAGTTATCTTTTAGTTTTACTTNATTAGTAACCACAGTTTCTTGTTTAAAAACTTGATTTATTACGTAATTAATAATTGCTTTACTTTAATGTTTAATCATTATCAAGTAGGGCTATATAAAAACACAATTCGCTTTAAAAAAATATTCGTAAATTCGAAAATTTTATTTAAAATACAGTAGCAAAATATCTACTAAAATTAATATAGGTATATGTTATATATATTTTTTATATATATTGTTGGTCATATTGGTTATATATATTGTTGGTCATAGCGGTGATTATGACCACACATCAAAAGTTCATACATCAAAAGTTCATATATATATATATATATGAACTTTTGATGTAATGTTATTTCAATTCAAAAATTTTCCCCCTGAAAGGTGTTAGATGACTGGCATGATTCTATTGTTAAAGGAAAGTATGATATATGGAGTCAAGCCACTACTAATTTGAGGTGAAGAGCATATTTTAAAAAATTTTTGTAAATTCTAAAAATAAAAATTATTTTCAGATTAAATACAAGTAAAACTGTATAAAAGAGTAGTTTTACTTGTATTTAATCTGGAAATCATTTTTATTTTTAGAGTTTACAAAAATTTTTTAGAAATATTACCGATCCCATTGTTTTAATTTTTTCTGAACATATATTTTAAATTAAATAAATTAAAAATAATGTTAAAAATTGCAGCCTGGCATTGTGATGATGTTACAATAAATAATTGCTTGTTTCTTTGCTTAACTTTCCACCCTTTGATATTTATTTTTCAAAGTATATAAAGCTGTCAACATCCTCTAATTATTCTCCATTCAGTTCAATTTTCCCTCTCCCCTCCTGAGTTCTTGACATCACTACTGTCTTGCTTTTCTCTCTGCTTATCTTCATTTCCCATTCTTCTAGCTTCCAGTTCCACACATCCTATTGATGTTAGACTACTTCTTCTGTGTCTCCCATCAGTATTATCTCATCTGCAAATAGCCATGCCCTCGACTTCTTCCCATTAAGCCTTTTTTTTTTTACATTCTTATGGATTTTGTCCATTGTGATTATAAACAGAAGTGGTAACAAAACACCAGTCCTGTCTTTGAACTGTTCTTTTTTCCCAACTCCTGTTTTGACACAACTTAGAAGTGTATTATACATTACTTGTATCTGATTTATAATTTTTGCCGAGATGCCCTTATTTTCTAGGGCCTTCCATACCATCTATCTTGGGATACTATCATATGCTTTGTCAATATCTGTAAAAGTCATTACTAAGTCTTTGTTGTATTTTCAATTCTTTTCCATCAGTAGTTTCAGAGAATATCAGATCTGTGGTAGATTGGTTCTTTCTGAACCCATGTTGTTTTCTAGTTGGTGTCCTACCACTTTTCTGCACTCTAAAACTCTTTCACAAATTTTGGCAACATGGGATAACAATGTGATCTCTCTGTAATTATTACATTCCTTTCTGTCCCCTCTCTTAAATATTGGGACTATAATATCTCTTCCCCATTCAGATGGTACTTTCTTATTTGTCCATGCAGCCTTCATAACCCCTGTTAGCCAACATATCGCCAGATGATCTGATGTGTGGTCATATCCACCGTGACTGTCAATTTCTGCAGCTTTGCCCATCTTTTTCTTTAATTAATTAATATGGTCTCCACTTCTGTGTGTGTTATAACATTCCATTCTGTTTCTCTCCTCCATTTATTCTTCCCTGTATTTCTTCTGCCTCCTTAGGTATCTTTTATTATACAGATCCCTATAATTTCTTAACCTGCACTACCCATGGTAGTGAAGATTAGGAAATTATAGGGATGTGTTTGCTTTCTTGATAAAATAAATTTCTTGCTTTTTTTTTATTTGTAGTCTAAGAATTGAAACTAAATTATAACTATCAAAAGGCACTAGTAAAGGATTGTAAAAGTTTATTGTGCACTCATCTATGCTTGAATAGAAGTAATCCAAATTTGAATGATTTTCTATAAATATTTGAAGTTGATAATGATTTGAGTTGCATTATTTTTTGTAGCATGTTTTGAACATGTCCATAAAGTAAAATAGGGTTTTCAGTTTAAAAAGAAAATATTGTGAAATACTGTTTGAAGTTATAATTACTTTTATAGCCAATTAGTAAATTAGGTTTTTAACCTTAAATTTCTGTAATAAATTTATAAATGTGTGCTATAATTCTTGAATTACAATTATTGTGGGAAATAATTACATGTGGGAATATGTTCATTGTTTGGAATGCAATTTAATTAAAATAATGTGGAGAAAGTATACAAACAAACTGATGCATAAACTGCAGAGTCTGTCACACTGCATCAGTTTTGAGTACAATAACTTAAACATAACAAAAATTGGTTTAATGAACTCATTCGCCATGATAGCAACAAATCTTAAGAAATTAATTTAATAATCTTTTTACTAATTCAGTCTGTCAATAGTCAATTTAATGAATTTTTAAGTAAACAATTGAATAAAGAAAGACTGAAAAAAAATTATAAAATTAATAAATTAGGCAGAATTTAAATCTTAAAAAACTTTGTGTTATAATGATTGACAGATTGTTAATAATGACTTCTAATCGTGGTTATGGCTAACACCTTTATCAAGATTACACTAATTGACCTAGTATATATTCATCTTCAAAACTTAACCTATTTAATTAAAGAAGGTTTTTTCTTCTGGTTAATAATCTCTACTTGCCACTTGTTACTTTGTTAATAATCTGTTTTCCATGATGTATTGATGCCTCTTCTTTATAATAATGAAGACATTCCAAGCTTTTGTTGCAGAGCTGCTGGCAAAAAATTTCACGACGATAAGCAATCGACAAAACTTTAGAAGAGTTTGACTTAACCTAAATGACAATCAGGTTAAGCACAGTAATAAGGACAGGATTGTCTCTCTAGAAAATTATTTACAATTTTTATAAATCACATTTTTCAATTCTTTGTATACATTTTACTTTTAAGTTTTTTGTGTTTTCATACTTTATATTTATTTTTCATTATTAATAAGTTCAGATTCTAGTTCAGATGTTGTTTAGTTGTCATATTTTTGTCAAATATTAACAAAAGTAGAACAATTAATAATAATAATAATAATTATAATATTTGAAAAGTGTTTTTAGAGTTTTTGAAGTTTCCAAAAAATAATGAATTTAGGTCAAAATATTTTATTAGTAATTATTGTTTTACCTTTTTAAAACATAAATAGAGCAATTATTTCAATATAAATATTGTCTGAGTTCAAAGAACATTATTGTTGACTATTAAACAGAGTATTTTCACAATGAGAGATTAACAATAAGCAATTCTTTTTTAATTTCGTTTATGTAATTTATAAAAAAAAATTCAATACTGTCTAGACATTGTCAAATTTAATTTTGCATGACAGATTTTTCCACATGTTCATAATTTATCAAGATTTTACTGTAGAAAGCTAATTTCTAATATATTCTATCTAATAAAATGTATCTCAATATAACTATATGGGAGAGGTAAGATGGGGCCCGGTCAACTCACAAATGTATACCTAAAAAAAGCTTAAAAAAAGCTAAGCTATTATATTTGTTTTATTGATTTCATTCATACATTAAAAATTCTTTAGATAAGTTTTTATCAATTTCATATTGTTTTTTTTTTTTTTATGTATTATTCTTTTTTCTGTCTAAGACCTAATGGTATTGTTGACCTTATATAAGTGTTAACTATATATATATATATATATAATGATGATAGTTAAAACATGTTTACTAAAAATAAATTACTAACAGACAATAGAAAGACCTCTTTAAAAACTGTTTGTCTGTGTATCTGCTTGAGAGATTACTTAAAAAATATATATTTTTAGTTTTTCTTTTAAAAATAATTATGTATTTATGATTAAATATGATAGAGAGGTAAACATAAAAATGTTGGTGAAAGTACACTATAAAATTCACAGTTCTAGAAAACTTTAAGGTTATAAATACAATTAAATTCAAATTTATGCAAAAGATACAGAAGATTTGATATTAATCTGAAAATTTATGTATTGTATGGAAAATTATATAGTTTATGTTGGATTTCTTGATCAACTGTATAATTCCTCTTTGATTATATACAGTCGAATGATTGTTTAATGATAAAGAGTGATATTTATTTATTCATGTTTAACTGCTGTGCTGGTTACAAGGTTGTGATTAATGATAAATTATATTGTTTCATTTAATAAAATAGGTCTAATGAATATTTATTGTTTGATTGAAATAATTAACTAGCGACAATGTGTCTTGTTTCCAGTATAAATGTCATTTTCATTATAGATGGACAAAACGTGTCCCCGAAAACTGACAGCAAAAAATACAACAATAATTCAAAAGTAATGTTTAAAGCTATTCTAATAATTATATTTATGTCTTTCAGGTATCTAGGATAAGAAAGTTGCCAAATACTGTGTTAAGAAAAGATAAAGATATACAAAGACTGAAAAATTTTCAGGAATTGGAAGTAGTATTAACTGTGGCTGCAACTACTACATCTACGCAAACCAAGACTGTGAATATTTCTACGACGAAAGAGTCCGAATCATCTCCTATCCGAAATAAAACTTTTTTGAAAAACTCGTCTGCTCCTCCTCCTCCAGGATATCTTACGGTTAGCAATAGTCCAGTAACTGCAACAAAAAACGTGTTTGAAAAATCAACATTTTGTAAAAATGGTACTATATTATATTAAGTAATACTAACAAATCTAACAATGTTAAATTAAAGAAAAAAAAATGTAAATTATCATCAAATACTATTTAAGATTGATAAATGAAAAAAATATTTGTCACTTTGTATGTGAAAATAATTTTTTTGCAATAATTTGATTGGAAAGAATTGTGGAAACAATTCTTTTCCACATTAATTTTCAGAAGCATGTTTATAAAATAATTCTTAGTCATTTTATAATACAGAATTGCATTTTTATTTAACTCGGCGCAACTAATTAGTAGAAAAGCATGCCTTATTACTTAAACATATGCAAGTAGTCCTGCCACATTTATGTATATAGAATATAAATATTTTGATTTTGCATGTGTTTTGTATAAATTAGAACAGGTCATTTAGAAGAACAGGTTGTCTAATTTTTGAAACATTTTATAGAAAATCAAACCTGACAGTTTGATATGCCATTAAACTCTATGGGAAAAAAAGAGCATCATAATTCAGTGAAATTTTGTTATAGTGGCATTTTTTATGCTTCTTATATTAAATAAAATGCTTGTTTTAATAAAAGATATTGCATGAGCTGCTGGATTTTTGCATGAATTTGATAAATTTTTCATAATTTATTTTAGCATACACATAAAAATTGTTCTCGTACATCAATATCATTACTCGGTATACAACAGTGCAAGATTTTCTCTGCAATATTCATCTACTTCCTAAATTTGTTCAAATTGGATACTTTAAACATTGTTTCACATTATAAATGGAAAAAGACCTATGTGATATATTTGTGCTTTGCTAAATATTAAATTTTTTACATGATATAAATGTTAATTTATTAAATTATTATGTCTTAATCATATTTATATTGATTGTAAATATCTTATACATACACAAAGGCTCCAACAATAAAGGCAGAAGAGAATTCTTCAGGAGAAGCAAATGCTTTTTACATATGTGCCTGCAATATTACCATGTTTTTTTTAACATGATAATTATTCTTCCTAGTCATAAATATATATAAATATCTAACTAATGTCAATTTTTGAATTTGTATATGTACATACGATGTGCAGTAAGAGGATATGCTGCATCTGTAGATTTACAAAGTTAAACGGCATTGAATGCTTGTGTGTTTGTGATAAGCATCTGTAATTATCAGTTAATCATGTGGAAATGTGGCAAAGCAAATAAACTGTTTAATTTCTAAATATAAATGTTGGTATATTTGTTTTGAATACAGACTTTGCATTTAAATATAATAATGTGTAAGAATATTTTCTATAAGACTACAGATTATTTAATTTAAAAAAACAACAGTATTATTTATTTATTGCTATCAAATGTAATTATTATAAGTAAGATTTATTTCAAAATATAGTTATTTGTGACATCTCTCTTAAGCAATAACAAAAAAATCTAGGTAAAAAGTGACGAAATAGCATTATTGTTTGACCTTTCACAGATTATAATCACTTTGAAGACACTTAATTGCTGCATTTAACATCATTCCACATTAGCGTAAGGTAAAATGCCGTTTATTGTTTCGTAGTCAGTAGTGGCATTGTTGTTGTTCATCTGCCGGATGACTTTTGCATCTCATTTTATGCAAGAGCGTGTTGACGTTTGAGCCGGTCACATTTCTGACTTCAATGAATTTGCATAGTGATTCATTGTGTGATAGTATGACCCAGATTAGAGTAGTGTGTCATGTATATACCTAAAATTACTTAAATTTTTAAAAAATTCCAAAAATTGATTTTTATAAGTTAATAGTTTATCAATAGGTCTTACTAAAATTTTTAATTATATTTTTAAATTATGATTTAAAATAGGGGGGAAAAAATGGTTATTAAATTAATAGCTAGTAGCGAGGAAGAAAATACACAATACATTTTATCAGTTAGCAAATCAAAAGTTTATCAAACTGCAATTAATAAATTGTCTTTTGTTTTCAAGAATCTGTGACCCAAGTTCATGTAAGAGATATTTAAACTTGTTACAGAAACTTTTTTCTGCACTAGATTCATTATTGATAAGTAAAAAGTATATAGTAATATAAATAATCTATAAATTGATGTCATAAATTTGAGTAAATGTTTGTATCTTTACAAAGTTTAGCTTAAAAGAAAAGCAAAAAGTTAGAATTTTAATTTGTAATGACATTTAGAGTTTCAAGTTTTGATATAGGATAGTTCATGACAAAACTTGAAACATTTAGAGTTTCAAGTTTTTAAATTAATAACGTAATTATAATTAAATTATAAGAGCATTTAATTTTTAATAAATTGTTTAAAAAAGATTTTGAAGATTTAATAATTTTATTATGGTTTTCTAATTAAATAACAAAGAAGAAAAGTATTGTTTTATTGTGAATTATCGTAATGTAGATAAATTTAAATTATTTAGCATAAAAAAATGTATTATTTCTAAGTTGTAAATACTATAATACCCACGTTATAAAAAAAATCAAGATTGAATCTAACAGTAGCAGATAACTTAAACAAAAAAATAATAATCTTGTAAGAAACGGAGGTGAGGGACCCCAAAATTCCCCATCTATGTCAAGTGTCAACAATACATGAGTCAACTTCAATCCGTCCTGCTGTCTGCCAATGCTATCCCTTACGCTATTGGTCATTTAATAACAGTCAACTCCGTCCCCATTGGTCGATGCTCTAAGGCTATAGAAGACACCAGTTTCTGCAGTCCAGTGTTTGTTATTTGGTGCAGTGGAGGCTGTTTAGCAAGTTGGAAGGTCGAGGTGAGTCGTTTTTAAATGCTATTTTAGTATTAATTATAGTGTTAGTGTATGACCGTTTAAGTCTTATGTATCAAAGAAATGTAGAAACGAATCTATATCCAGCTTCTCCTTTGTTCTCTCTGTGGATAGATGATGTGGAGAAGCGATCGATATTCTCGGACATAGAACTCCTTTGCCGCGAATATAAGCACGAATTTTAATATTAATATTCACTTTTTATTGCTCCTAGTCCATTATTAGATTCCGACTTTTCTAATTATACACCTCAGTTATTAAAAAATAAATTTAATAAAATGTTTAAATCTGATTTTCGTGCCTGTTTATTCGACTTAGGGATTTTATTAGATTTATTTAATTTTACAGCAATTGTTTTAATTAAAATTATTACAGTGCGAGAAACAATTAAACCTAAATGGGTTTGCAGTTAAAACTAGTCGTTTGTATTACGATAGATGCTGCTATAGATTAGTACTTAACAACCTCAGCTGTTATCAACCGAAATGGATTCGATTCTAGAAAGATTTAGCTCTCTACAAGAAATGAAACGGATTCGATTCCGGATTACTGCAGTTGTGTACGTTCTGAAGTAGATTTGATTTAGAAAAATCCTGGTTAGATTAGATAATAGACAGATTTTAATTTTCGACAAACCGCAATCGATTTAATCCCAGAAAATTCTGTAAAATATGGTATAGATTGATGAAATTAATGCTGGTGAGCTTAGTTTTATTCTAGATGATGATAATTTCTCAAGAAACGAAATGGTCTTTAATGACGATAGAGAATATCCAATAGAAGAAATCCAATTAATGAAAATTCCATAACTCTACAATAAATATAAATTAGCATCGTCAATGAATAAATATTAAAAGAGTAATTATGAGAACTTCTTAATGTTGGACAGATTATTTTTTTAATTAAAATAAGGACATATTGAATTTTTTAGATTATGCTGTAGTTTTTAAGAGTACTTTGCTCGAATTAGAACGTACTTCTGACCCCCAAGACCTTTATGTTTAGTATCTTTGCAGACCAATTTATATTTAGCACATCACTTTCTCCTTTCTAGTCGGCATTTAAACTTATTTAAGAGGATTCTAAGAAAGGCACGGATGAGAAATCAAGCAAAACCAACCGAAATAATTTATTTTACATATTATCAATAGAAACTCTGGTAATGTACTCTTAATGAAATAATTACCCAGCATGTCTATGCGAAAATAATAACAGCTATCTGGCCTTCACATCTGAAGATTCTATACGCTCTTGATTGATGTTTCCCCTTTTTAAAATAGTAAAATAAGACGGAGCAGACAAAAGACCTTCTATTGTTATCTAAGAAGTTATGTGGGGGAGGATAGCGGGTTTAGACAGGAAAATTGTTCCCCTGATCTTTGCACTGTTAAGAAACACCCACTTCCTCGGCGGTCGATGACCATGTTTTAAACATATATTTTTTTAAATGTTTGACTGGTCAGTTCTGTTGATTTTTTTCTCTTGGGCTACTTTTCTCCGTACGTGACATTACAAGGGTTTTTCCAATTATCGAACCCCTTACTATCGTGTGGCATCATAAACTGGATTTTTTGCTGAGTAAGAGGAAATATGCCCTTGTAGAATTTGCCATTTAGTCAGGTCTAGTGTAGTATTAAAGTTTGTAATTTAGTAGATCCACATTTTATTTCGCTATCTTTCTAGGAAAGATGTCAAGCAATCACATGAATGGAGTCAACGGTGTAGGACTTGATGGAGGACAGCAATGGCACGTAGGTTTGCTCAATGCCCAATTTAAGTATCTAACAGCGGAAACATTCGGATGTAAGGTAAATGCCAACGGCACGGCACTGAAGAAGAAACAGTTATGGAGCCTTGAGGCGTATGGCGATGACGATGGCATCTGTTTGAAGAGTCACTTAGACAAATATTTGGCTGTGGATCAGTTCGGTAACGTTACTTGCGATTCGGAGGTTAAGGAAGGGGGAGTAAAGTTTTTCGTCACTATAGCCGAGGATGGATCTGGCCGTTGGGCGCTACGCAATGCTATACGCGGCTATTATTTGGGTGCCAGTACCGACAAGCTCGTATGCACTGCCAAAGCTCCAGGACCCGCCGAATTGTGGACCGTCCACTTAGCAGCAAGACCACAGGTGAACATAAGATCAGTCGGTAGACGACGTTATGCTCGGATCTCTACTACTTTGGAAGAGATCCAAGTGGATGCCAACACCCCATGGGGAGAAGATACCCTGTTCACTTTAGAATTCCAAGATGGCAAATATGCCATTCATACGTGCACCAATCGTTACGTTCAAAATGATGGTAAACTAGTGGACAGCTGCTTACCCGATTGTCTTTACACGCTGGAATTCCATTCAGGTTATCTGGCTCTGAGAGATAATCAGGCTCGTTATTTATCACCCATAGGGAGTAAGGCCATTCTACGTACTCGATCCCAAACTGTTACCAAAGACGAACTGTTCACCTTGGAAGATTCTATTCCTCAAGCTGCTTTTGTGGCATTTAATGGAAAGTACGTTTCGGTCAAACAAGGTGAGTAAAACTGTTTTTATGTCTATAACATGCCATTTTTTGTTATTATAAGGGTGGATTTGACCTATTTGTCGTTTCCTAAAGTTTATTTATCATATCTTTAGTAAAGTTTTAGTGGGGAAAAACCGTTATTACTATATACATCTGTTAAAACAGATATTTACGAGAGAAAAAAAAATACCAAGGTTTATATGGCCATTATACCCATTGGCATTATATGAAAATAAATTCCTCCGCATGTTTGCCTAGTAGTATCCTGTGCGGCATTTTGAAACATTGACCTTCGGAGTAAGGAAGAGGAAAGAATGTTCTGTATTGATCTGTCTGTCTGCTTTTAAAGCCATCTTTGTGTATGGCATGCGGAGATACACCTGGATGAGTTAGTATAACTGTTATTTCCTATGTTTTGCTATATGCAGCTGCGTAACTTAAATTCTACTTTTAAAAGATTTTAAAGCTTTCAACGTACGTGAATATTTTAATCTCGCGTATTTAAATTTTCTCTTTTTTATTAATCGTGTATGTGGCAGAAAGACATCTGGATTCGGCCCTCCTGTGAGATTGTCACTCTGCTTCCGGCTGAACTTGTTTCTTGGTCATGTGACACGGTCGAGTAGTGACTGTAATGACCGCTTCCCTTTTCGTCCTCCGTTTTCTTAAGTTTTTTTTTTTTCTTTTAAACGTTCCCTCCCCTTCTGTTGGGTCATTTCTTATCTTTCCTATCGCATAAATAACAGGACGTTCGGTACTATATCGAAGGCTATCAATAATACAGTACACATATCCCGTATTTCGTTGGCGTCGATTGGATCATGTCGATGTTGTCATGGCAACAGACAGGAAGGTTACATTGCGCTGGCGGGGTAGGCGAGGACGACGATATGGACATGTTGATGGTTGTTTTCGAAACGTAAATGCCATTTATCTGGATAGAATCGATCATTTGCCGGTTTGTATCGGTGTAAACGAGCATTTTTGTAAATTTCCTCTCTCCACCCTCGTAAATAGGTTCACATGCACATCCGTACCACATCACGCTAAGCGTGCTTATCTATTATGCAAATTTTATGATGTTTAGATTGCGTAAGAGCCGTTATTGGTGTTCGTTCTTCGAGAACGAGTCTTCCCTAAATTGTTTTATTGAACTTACACGAAAAAATCGACCATAATGATAAGATAGAGTTACCGTTTTCATGCCTTTTAAAGCGTGAAACTCGTGCTATTTTTTATGCCATCTTGTTCCAGCATTTTTGAATCCCCCCATCGTTATGCTTGCTGTGATTTTGAACTTACAGAAACGTACAAAGTATAATTAAAAATCTAAAGAAGGATCTTCTCTTATCTCGATTGAAAGGTCGTCGAACGGCCTTGTTTTCTTATTTAACTAAAGACATCGCAGGAAGGGGCTATTGTTTCTTTCTCGATCGTATTATTAACGGTGCCTGATTAAAAGAAGTTAGCCCGTCCACAAACAATATTGATGGCAGTAGGGATTCGTGATTTAGAAAAGTTGAATAACTTCTGTACCATGCGATACTTAGTTACAAATCTTCCAGCTATACATCATTAACCCCTATGACTTTTTGAAAAATCTTGTTTTTTCTGGGTCAATTATTGGCAATGCAGGATGCAAATGATGTTTGTTATACTATTGAAAGCGTTTTGTGAAACGTTTTAACCGAGTCAACCATGCGTGAAGTTATTTTTTTTATATATATATTTAGTAGTAGCAAAAATATGTCGCAATATAAATATAGTTGAGAATGGTTTTTTCACATATAATAAAATCCCCACAACATTATAGATTTTTTTTCTAAATAGTTATAAAAGTTTAAACTACCGGAAAAATTTTGGAGTGTCCATCGTTTCGCTTGACATAGTCGTTAAGAAGGTGAATGCCCGCCTTATCCCTCTAACTCAACCTTGGCATTGATCAGGTGTAACTAGGAAGCGGAATAAAGGGGGGGTCGATAGTAAAGGAGCGGTCGAGGTTGCTGGACTTTCACAAAATTCACATTTTGAGGGAAACCAAGCTTGGACGATCATGCAAATCGACTAAAGTCGAATAACAAAAGAGATTCACAGAATTCACAGACCATAAATTCTCAAAATTAAAAAATAAATAAAATAAAATGTTTCTTTTTTTCTTCGTTTTCCATCCCCCATATTTTAAAAGATTACCGTCTTATGCTTTTAGGGATTGACGTGACAGCAAATCAAGATGAAATATCGGATCACGAGACTTTCCAGTTGGAATTTGATAAGTACACCAAGCGTTGGTACATCCGAACCATGCAGGACAAGTATTGGACATTAGAGAGCAGTGCTGGAATTCAAGCCAAGGCCGACAAAGGGTAAGGTCGTTGACATTAGTTTGTATCGATCCGAGGTGAGTCAGTCAAAGCTGACGTCGGAGAAAAGATGGCCACGTGATAGCTCTGGGATTGTTCTTATTTACATCATAAAATCATTATTCGTTTTGATAAGTTTTATGAATGTATTCTGGCTTTTTATAGATTCCTCTTCTATGATATATTTTTAAAATATTATTCAGCTGCTTTAAATGGTTATTTTCAAAAACTAAGTAAATATTGTTTTTAAAATTGTTCATATGAACAAATGAACCTGAACTAATTAATCGTTAAACACACGTTTCATTTTATTATTTATCCCAGCTATTAGTAAAAATTACGAAAATTTAATACAAAACTCTGTTTTTCTGTTTATAGCGTGAGAAATTCTATGTTGATTCACGATAATTATAATTCATCCATTTTAACTATTACAGTATTGATTAATTAAAATTGGCATCGATCGTGCTATTGATTAATCAATTTTGAAGTGTGTTTATTATTATTTAGATAGAGGGAATAACAAGTGATACATATTCTTTTAGTAAGGTATGTTAAGTTTCATTTCCATAATTGAAGTAAAAATGAATTACTCAAACAATATGATTTTCATAAGCCACTTTAAACAAATTGAATAATAAATCCAGTGCTGACGATTCGCAATGTAATCTGATTGTCACTCGAATAAGAGAAACATTTAAATTTATTCATTTTTGTTTATACTGAATGTAATCATCTTAAATTCGGCAGAAGATTGGAAATTTTTTTATTAATTGCAATTTTCTACGTATATTCACGATTTCCGTATTGTTTCAGAACTTCCAACAGCCTTTTCTCGTTGGTATGGCAACCGGAAGGAAGTGTGGCATTTATCGCCAACAATGGAAAATATGTAGCTGCGAAGAAAAGCGGCCATCTTTTCGCCAATAGCGACAAAGTCGACGAGACAGAACGATTTTTCTTCTATCTGATCAACAGGCCGACTTTAGTATTGAAATGCGAACAGGGATACGTGGGTTATAAAACTGCTAGCACTCCCAAACTCGAATGCAATAAAGCATCTTACGAAACCATCCACGTGGAAAAGGACGAAAAGGGGATATGCTTCTTCAGAGGTACGTAATTCAACTTTTATGTATTCCTTTAAGTTAATGGTCTTTATTCTGTATTCTTTTATATAATCATCCTCAATTATGCTGTTAAAATTTACACACCAGGATGTGTGTAAAAATTTTTAACAGTATAATTGGCACGAGTTGTCGGACTTGATATCTTTCCTCAATTTTCATTAATTAAGACTGATTTAATTTTCTATCATATTGAAAAATATATGTAAATATATGTTATTTTCTATAAAAGTGAAAAAAGTAGGAATTGCCAGTAGATGGCGCTAGGAAAAAATAATCGAAGTTTTAATAGATGGCGCGGCTTGAATCGTAACGCCGTCTGACGACGAAGGATAACTGTGATTAGCGCCATTTAGTGGCAGTTTTCTTATTGTGTTTGAGTATTGGTGTTATCTAATGGCAATTCGTACGGTCAACAGAAAAATTGATTTTTTAACGCCTTTTTTATGACACGTGGGTTAATCTTCAAATATTATTTACATTTTTTTTTCAGGTAATAATAATAAATACTGGAATGTATCGGGCGATGGAATCTCTGTGGACTCCGATTCTCCCCAGGGATTTTATATAGAGTTAAGAGAACCGTCGAAACTCTGCATCAAAACCTACGATGGCTGTTACGTCAACGCCGAGAAAAACGGTTCCTTTAAGGCAACAGGAACTGATCCCAACACCGCTACACTCTGGGAATATTGAAAAAAAAAGGAAACAGATAGAAAACAACCTCCACTTTTTTATTTTACCCTCCTAGTTCACTTATACTTTTGAAAATTGATAAGAAAAAATTTGATGTTTCGTGTACTCGTGTGTGCGTGTTTACAGGTTTCTATCCTCCCTCGTTTCCTTCCCAATGTGAAACAACTAATAGGATAGGACGTGTGAGAGATTTGGCATTTTTAACATTTCGATATCGTTCATTCGGTTCGTAGATTTGATGATATTGTGCGTGGTCTCTCTGTCCAGAGGCCCTCTGTAGCCCCCTGTAGAAGGGCTCCACCTTCTGCTGTGGTTTTAATTTTCGAGTGGAGCCCCCGTAGAAGGGCTTCCCCCATATTTGTGCATGCATTAACTTTATAACAAAAAAGTGTAAGTTGTTGGTGATTCTTGTTCTTATACAAGATTTATATTTCCTTTTTGTAAAGAGAATCTTTTGTGGAAATATTTTTTACTCGTGAGATATTTTCGTACGGGTTTTCTGCTACTTTTTCCTTTTTCTATATACACAGACATATATATATAAATAACTTAAATAAAATAATAAAAAAAAATGAAAAGCCTTTTGTGACGCACCGTTGTGCGATAAAAATTTCGAAGCTTTTTTAGAAAACTTTTATTATGACGACGGCTGTTTTTCTAAAAAGCCTTTTTTGTTTTTGTTTTTTTAAATAAAAATATAAATAAATGAATATATGTATATATACAGTATATATTCTATACTGTATATATAATAACTATGTGTTGGAAACTATTCTTTTGTTTTATTTAAGCAGAACATTAAATCGAATTATAACAAATCTTTCCAAGAAAGTTAAAGATATTTAGTCAAACCTCGATCCGGCGCCATCGTTTTTTGCCTGTGAAACTCACTAAATTGAGTGCGGCGCTAAACTGAGGTAATTCAAACAAAAATTATAAACAGTAATGAGCCATACGCGTTCGTATGTGGGATACCCATGATTTGGTGGTAACAGTGTCCTTTATAACGCAAAATTTACGTTTAATAATATGGATATTGAAAACTTGTATAAAAGTTATCAGGAAGGTCCGTTGAGTATGTACTGGCGCTGTATCGAGATTTGACTGCCGTTGGTTACCGAGATAGAGAACATGGCGCCATCTGTTGATTGAATTTCTTACCAAAATAATATTTTTTCTTAAGTAGAATTTTCTTAGATATATGTTTCAGTTAAATCTACAATAGTGTAATGTTATTTCGTGATAATACCACTAAACAATATAAAGTTATTTGGTTTAATTTCGAGTAATTAATATACTCGAAATTATTACGCTAACCACGTGAATGGATCACGTGGTTAGCGCGACGATCCCATGAATTGCATGCGAGCAAAGTGGGGATTAAAAGTTGCTTGGGGATGTCATTTTAACATACGAAAGTTAATGATACAAGAAAATGCATCTATATCCATTAAAACACGAGATGAGACTTTAGTTTGGTAAGTTTTTGCTTCAAATTTATATCAATATATACTTAAATTTTACATGATTCATCTGAATATTAACTAAATGTTTTTAAAACTAAAATCCCATTTTGAAAGGCTGTCCAGTAGTGGTATGTTCAAGAATCCAAAAGTAAAATTGCTTCTAAAAATTTCATTAGAATTGATTAAAATAAAATTTTCACCAAAAGAGCTATTACTTGAATTAGTTACTTTAATAAAATTTAAATGGTAACATTTTTTTCGCGTACATTCATCAGCTGAAATGTTTATATATTTTCATTCCCAAAAGGATTTTTTTATCCAAGGGTAGGTTGAAGGACAACTTATACAGGATTTCATGTATCTGGTGCCACCATAAAACTGTTCTAAATTTTTATATTCGCAATTACGTGGCCCGGAACATTTTGATGGGGGTAGAGACGATGCCGTAACACAATTGGCCTGTCGATAATCCTTTAGCTTAACGGGATTTTTCATATATTCCAGAACCGTTTGTATCGTTACTATGTAAATATCGTCATTCTCCAATAGCCATCGAACAAACTTGAGATAACCCTTGTGCCGCTCTTTGTTCTGCAACCAAGCTTCGTGTAGAAATACAGGGAAAGGAGCTCTATTGCAATGATAATGTCTGTCAAAGTTTTTTTTAAAGAATTCGAACGTATCGCCTTCCGTTGTCGGATACGGAGTACAAGCATCTGCCATGGAGCATTTGAAATTCGTGTTTTTAACAGAAGTGTAACTTACCAACGGCACCTCCCATAGACCAGGGTATTTCTTTTCGGGACACGGCTCAATCTGGCAGTCTTGGTCTTCGTAACCGAAATTCAACGTGTAGGGCCACATGGGCCCTTCGCTCTCGCCGTCTTCTCCTTTGCACTCGTCATTACCCGCGTAATTCAACGTCGGCATTGTCGAATCGTAGTCGAAACCCTCCCTATTTAACATTTCGAAAGTGACGTCTCCCGCTGTTTGCAAGAAGGGCGCTCTGTGTCCTTTTATTTTACCGGAATCGATCAAAGCAAATTTCGACAGAATATCCCTCATTCCGACCATTTCGTCCTCCCATCTGTCATAATCCGCAGTTTTCCACATTTCTGTGCTGGCTTCGTGACTATTGTATTCAAAACGTAAGCAAGCAGTCATTACACAGTATTTTAATAACGATACTTATAAAATATTTAAGGTAAATTACTCACCTAATGGAATGCACAGCCATTTCGCTACCGTAACGATGGAGTTCGTGACAGAGCTGATAATCGGCATATTCGTGAGTAACGAAGAATGTGGCGGCAATATTGCAACCGCTACGCTTATTTTTATAATTACCCATGAAGAGCTTTTTGTAAGTATTATTGAAATTCATGATGGTAACGGCATCGTCGAAACTCAGCATAACGAATTGGGGGATTTCGTTTTTGGTTAAGTTTCCCGGTGTTTTCGTGTTGAAACAGCTACAGTTTGGAAGTTTACACCTTCTAACCGTGCATCTCTGTCCCACTGCCAAGGTTACTGTCGACACCAGCAGAAGTATGATGTGTAACCAAGCCATGTTGACTAATGATTTGTTTCCAGTAGGTGGCTTATATTGTGTGATTTATCAATAGTGATAAACTGCAAATAGATAATTTTGTCTTTATCTAAAGCTAATAATAATGAATTTTTCTCGATTATTTTCGTTCGACCTCGCTCTATTTTTATCGTTTGGCCCTCGTTTTAAGCTTAATTTATATAATTTTCTATTGTTAATTTAAGTAAGTAAGTTTCTTTACCATCAAGTTCTGAATAGGAAATTCAAATAATGGGTACATTATATATTCTGATGATAAAAAAACGAAACTATGTCTAAACAGGATATTTTAATCTTTAGATAAGGTTTCGTTCTTTAGAACTACTTATATAAAATAGTCACGTCGTTAATTTGTTCAAGATATAATTTATGCAAAAATTTATCTCAATACTTACGAAGAATTAAAACATCTATTTGATTGATTATGAAATTCCTTTATCGTATCTGTAAATATGTTACTATATAATTTTATAACCGAAACAGCGCATTGTTGAAGACTATTTAGAAAAAAATTAAGGGCATTCTATAAAAAAATTCAAGGTTTCCCGAGTCCAAAAATGTGAAAATATTGGGGACATAATTTTTTGGCCACTTTCCATACTTTTCCTCCGTTATATATAACGGTTGGGAAAATAAAAGCGAAATGTCGCACTTTTCTGAGTGTAAACATTCATTTAGTGACATTTTGTAGTTCTTTTTCTGATGAAAATATATAACGATTTTGATTTAATATTTAGAAATGGTTAATCGGGTTTTGAGGTAATGAATATTTGTGTTTGAATGAGAGTGTTCGCTTGTGGTATATACAAATTTAACGCCTTAATGTTGAAAGAATTCTGCAGAAAATGAAGGCTTTATTTTATATTGAACCGTATTAAACTATCAAAAATAAATTTTGATATTAAATTCAATCGCAATGGGTGTTTACATAATTAGAAAGGAATTTTTGGTAAGTAAAGTAATTTTATAGTAATTAAGTAACATTCTTCGAGAAATAACGGGCAGCGGCACACTCAGACTATAGAAAAGAGACACAAGCTATAAAAAAGGGCATCATACAGATGGAACAAGCTTCATAGTATGATTTAACGTCTAATCAGCGCTCCCGAAAGGTGAGGCTAACTAAGTTGCTAACTTGGCCTCGATAACAAGGAACATTCCTTGTTTTAGAGACAAATGAAAAAATCAACAAGTATATGTAGTAAGCATTAAATTACAAGTATTGATGTAACGATAAACTGTCATAGACTGGAGTGTTCAAAAGCATTCATCATCGTTATTTATTTGTAACGAGAAATTATTTTATTATGGCATCGTCACAATGCCGGGCTGCAATGTTTAATCACATTTAAAATACATGCTTTTCACCTCAAATTAATAGTATCTTATCTCTGTACTGTACTGTACATCATACTCTTCCTTTAGCAGTAGAGTCAGGCCTGTCATCTATTAACTGCTTTCGGGGGAAAAGATTTGAATTGAAATAACGTGGCTTCCGGTTTTCATTGAAAGTTTATATATAGTTAATTAGGGCTTCTGTCCCTACGATTTCCGTATCTGTCTCGGATTTCATCTAACTCCGTTCTCGTGTTTAAGAAAAGACAGACGGACAGACGACAGTGGGAATTTATAGGTCTACAATTTTTTTCAAATTACAGCTTAAAAATACGTACGAAGTAAATAACAAGAGAACATCAATTATTGTTCAATACAAATTTATTGTTGAAATCTTCGTTTCATTCATGAAAATATCTAGCAACGAGTTGAGTAACTTTTCCGGCTGATAAAAAAAAACAAATTTTATGTTAATTTCTAATAAGAATTAGCTTTAACTATTTTTTTTCACAAAATAGACTTGCCCTACTTTCAAAATCAATGGCTCGTATATATTGGTGGAAGAAATATATCTAATCACATATTTCTTTCGCCAATTAAGTTTTCCAACATCTAAAATATAAAAAATTAACAGTAACAACATTTCTAACAACAATTTCTAGTCACTTTATATTCATGTTTTCCATATTTTTTATTTGGATTCTATCATCTAAAACTTAAGAAATCCTGAAAATTAGATTTAAGTGCTCGCTCTGATTTTTCTGAAATTTTAATGTAATATGTTTTATTGTTCAGGAATACATAAAATGGATAAATTTCTCAAATATTNTTATTATACATAATCTTATTTATTATATGTTGCGAGATTTTGTTATAAAAATCTTTTAATATTTTTAATTATTATGGCAAATGTCTCAATTTTGAGGGCAGTGATGAGTATCGTAAATAATTTTAAATTCTAATAACGTATAACATCTTCATTAAGACCGACCCTTTACGAGATATGACATATGACATCCCTGTTTCTTTCCACCCCTCGATTTTTCAGCACAAAGTTGATGCAAAGACATAATAAGAAAAGAGTTAATTCGCACTTTCAACGAAGAAATATACGAGTAATAAATAAATTGTAAGTTAAGTAATGTAAAAGATTTCCGTTTAAGTATTTTTCTTTAAAAAATGCAAGGTAAACTATTCTTTACGTTTAGTTTAATTAATATAGCAAATTAAACGATATTATCAATCATTCACTTGAATATCAGCCGGAGTTTCTGACACGTGTAATCCAATTCCGGAAATTTTTCTAAATGTTTCTTGTATGCCAGAAAATGTAGAATTCCCGAACCAGTGAAAACACAATTCAGAAAAAACTGCATTGACAGCGCGGCCATTTGTTTGATCATGTTAAACATGATTATCATCAAAGTAATAGATCAAGTTGAAGCTGAAAGTTTACGTCACGTTTGTTTTTCTGTAAAATAATTGTCCTAATGAATATTGTCTTATTTTCGCACGGTATTTCTCGTGTGTGGTACACGTAACACATATTTTTAAAGGTTATCGATGTAACTAATTTAAAATATTTCCTTTAGTTGAAGCGTAAAATCAATTATGACGCTGCAATACACAATACTACTGATAAAAACATCCGAACTTTACCTTCTTCGGTAATGAGTGCTGAGTTGGTGGATTTCCACTAAATTTAATGGGAATTATACTTCTACCTCTTGGCAAAGGTTCCGGTAATACCCGAGTATCGACTTGTGTAAGATTACTGGACGTGTCGAACTAGATTTCTGCGTAAATATGCAAAATTGTAGTACAGTTACAATTCAAATTTTCTCAAGTGAATAAAATTATACCGGTGTAAAAACACGAATAAACACGGACATACAAGCTTTGACCTGGTTTTATAAAGGTCTTGTGTCAAACCGAGATGAAAATTCTAGAATATTCTCGAATGGCCAGTCTCATATATTTCAACTGGTGGAAAAATGCCAACCCCTGGGATATTATTGAATGATCACTAATATATCATGCTAAGACTGCCCCCGTATACCATACATATGGAGTGAGATTGATATATCAGTTTCGGCACTTCAATGTCTATACCACATCGGCTCAATAGGGTTTGCAAGTCTCAGCAATGATCACCCTGTAAAAAATCCACATACACTATATATGTTGTAAGATTTCCAAAAGACTCCATGTGGTTTCAAATTAAGTTTTAAGTCAAACGGTTAATTACAAAATTATTATGTAGATCTGTACAGGAAACTTATCTGAATTAAAACTAGAATCTGCGTTACTATAAAAGATGCCAACTGAAATATATAACAAAAATGTAATTTAGTTACGTGACATATTTTTTCAACATTATACAATATTTTGTATCGACTAATTACTTTAACCTTATAGGTTGATTTTTCTAACAGCAAACAGTTGTGGTTAAATGACGAATGATTTTATTATGGTATATTTAGAACATTTACAACAAATGTATTTCGGGCTAACGTAATTTTTTAGCCCCTCTTCAGTGATATATTCTCTCATATCACTGAAGAGGGGCTAAAAAATTGCATTAGCCCGAAATACATTTGTTGTAAATGTTCTAAATATATCACAATAAAATCATTCATTTAACCAGAACTGTTTGCTGTTAGAAAAATCAACCTATAAGAATTAAAGTGATTAGTAGATAGACATTTAATATAACATCCCTACAAATAATAAAAGTATACGTTATTATGATAAGGATTTTACTTACGGTCATGATGAATTGCCTATCGAAAGTAAAGAAACCCATACAAGTTATTTCTCTACCGCCGTTCCGGTCTAACAGAATCATGTGGTGTATCTTGAAATAAAACATAAATTTAGATTTCAAAATGCAAAAATATAACTTGACGAGAAAACCTTCCTTACCAATTGTTCATGTTGAAAATCGATCGATTCCAAATAAGTGGAGTATAGTAAGCCATATATTTTACGAATCTAAATAAAAAAATTATCCATTCAACGTGCTTATTCATGTTAATTCTTATAAGTGAATCAATAATATTTGATTAAAGAAAGAAACATACCTCTACTGTTAACGGAATTTCAATTGCCATATATGATATGCAGGAAAGAAAATTTAAAACTCCAATTGCGTATAAAATTAGGAGGAAATAAGTAGGAACCTCAGTAAATAATATTACACAGATGATCATTGTTTCGTTTATTAAAATAATAATGAAAAAAACCAAAGCGGGAACATCAACAGATTGGTTGAATAACTTCATTAATCTGTAGATATTTCTTTGTTTCTCTTGGAGATATTTCAACATTCTCAAGTCCACGACTCCGATTGTTCGAAGATGATCTTGAAATGTTTTAATATTTCTCGAAATTAAGTTGGACACAGTATTAAAAAATAATGGTTCGAATATTAAAACTCCGAAGCCGTGTAAGCATAGAAAGCTGATTTGTAAAAGACATATTGTATCCACGTAGTTCCATGATCTAACCTTCAGAAGTCTCATATATGTTACGAAAAATGTACACAATATAACTGAAGATAAATAAATTATTATAGAAATGAAGACAGCTTTCTTCTGTTTTCTGCAAGTAAATGAGAATTCTGAATCGTTTATATCGTTGTTTGTTTTTTCTATAAAAAGGCATATCTTGTTTAATAGATTAACGTTCTTCTTGAAATTAGACAGCAGAAATTCTATAAAGAAACCTACTACGAGCGAAAGAATAAAGCCATGAAATAAATTTGACTTGTTCCCCGGAAAGGTAGAAACAACGCAATAAAGATATTCGTTGTTGGGATGGTCAACAATGGCACGTAACACATTAATTATAAATATTACGTAAGAAATAAAAATTACGTTCTTGTAGATTTTATATACTTTATATTCCGTAAAATTTGGCTTTAATGTAACAAAATCTTGTCCAAAAATATGACATATTCGAATTATAAGGGGAAAGTAACAACCTAATATCTTATGGAGATTCTCGTTATCCATTGAACAATTGTAAATTTATTCATACAATATCTGATTATAGTTGAAAATTTTTATTTTTCACTGTTTGTATTGTCCAGCATATGTCACACAATCGATATATTTGTATATATTGAAATGATGGCGAAAGAAGGAAATAAACAGTAAAATTGTTATTCCTTCCATATAGAATGTACAAGAACAGAAAAAAGTCAGTTTCTATAATAAAATTATATATAACCAGGACATGAGCCTCAAGAATTTTCTGGTTTACGTTATCTAATCTGAAAAACCGGTATCTGGTTCAATAGGTAGAGGTTCAATTCGGAATTCGGTTACCATATGTATGAAATCTAAATGTGAAAATAAAGACATTAATCAGATAAAACACAAATTTAATGAAATCATATTATTGTTAATAGAGATTCTGGCAAAACATTAAAGAAATTAAAAGTCTAACTTAACACAGTATTTATTAAGAAAACATAAAATTGCTCTTATTTGTAAACTTAACACGAGAATGACACATGTATACTAATTACAATTTTATTTGTTAAATTTGAAAATTTTAGTGATTAACAAATAATATCGTTCTGTAAATTTTTCGAAACTTCATCTCAATAGTACATTATCTAACACTTCAGATTTAATATTTATATACGCAAAGATAATCGAATATACTTCAGACTAGAAATTTTTCTACGATTACTTGTGCTGCAAGAAGTACTGAAGCAATTTTACAGGCAACCTCGACGGGAGGGGGCATACGTTGTTGTAGCAGCGGGGCCTACTCTTTATAAGAGGCCCGACAGCCCGTTTATTAAAGTAAATTTTCTCGTTTGTTTGCGAGGATGTGTTACTATGGAGTGTGGAGGAAGGAATATAGAAAAACTTTACCCAAAAAAGAGATTTGAGGGTTGGATTCAGTTGGATCGTTAGGGAGAAGCAGATGAGTAAATGTGGTTAAGGAAGGGCAGAGAGGACCTTGCTGTCTCTCCACGGGTCTGCTTGGAGAATATAAAAGATGATTGTTTCTATTGTAATACAGTAGAGCGTCGATTTTCCGAAAGTCAATTATCCGAAATAATTCTAGTCGGCAAATTTAAATTTTCGCCAGTGCTGTGGCGCTTCAATCTTTGGCTATGTCCTGGGCTACTCAAATATTTTACGTTTTTGATACTAAATTAACTTCTGAAGTATAATTTTTTATTGTTTTTATATTTTTCAATATGTTTATTTTGTTTGTACAAAATAAAAAAATAATTTTTAACGATACAATAGTCTTTGTTAGGCTTAACATCAACGAAAATTCAACGCGAAGCGACACGCAACGGATAAAAATTTCGAAATCGGATACGTTAAACTATTTTTTCGTACGTAAATCAGTTATCCGGACAACCCCAGTCCCCAATTGATTCGGAAAATCGACGCTCTACTGTATTTTAATGTATTTGTATTTTTCTTTTTTATTTCATTCATGATTTCCTTAGCGAAGAGAAGTGCTATTCATTAGAAAAAAAACATAATTTTTTATAGATGTTTGTATATTTTTTCAACTGTTGAGGGACTCGGCCCCATCGAGCCTACCTCCTAGTTATGATATTAAGAAAAAATAATTTTCTATGTAATAGACAGTACAGATAGGGAAGGCAGTTTATCATAAAGTGTGCTTGTTTATTTTGTTAAATTACGGCAACGCAACACTTGGGCGATCTGCCTACGGGGATAACTTCTGAAAGTTTTTTTAAGGGTAACTAGCCCATATTCGGGCGTTACAGAGTGGAGAAAACCCGGAAAACTCCACGTGACCAGCCTGACTACCAGTGTTCAGGGAACGGAACCGCCTGGCCGCTGGTGGGCCTTAAAGTGTGCATTTTGTAGCTATAATGCGGCTTCGTACTGCTGTATAATTAACACCGACTTGGGCCAATTTCAAAACTTACACCATGTTTCCACACTTTAAAATTTCATACTAACATCACCAGCGTAAAAATGCGGCAAATTGTTTTAAAGTAACCGGTTCGAACCGTTTTCCACATCCATGGTTCTTGGTTTCCAATGGATTCTTCTCTCACCGATTTGGGTTTTATTTTTAATTCGGTGAAAATTGCGTAGGTTAGTTCAGGTTTTTGTTCCGGTTTCGGTTCGATTCGCGATACGAATTTAAAAAATTACTCATACGTAATTTCTTCAATAAAATTAATGGTCAAGTAAAATATTTTATTAATTACGAACATTTATGAAATTAAATATTATTAATATTGCCTTAATTTCATATACAGTATAAAAGAAAAGTAATTTCTATCCTCACTTCCTCAGCGGTTTACCTACAATTAAATTAAATTAAACACCAGAACACTTGCTGAGCTTACTGTACTTTAATATCCAAACTCTTTCAGCCTATTCTTATAGGCCATTTTCAGGAAATTATCGTTCAACAAATTAAAAACATAATTAGAAATTAAAAATTAATATCATTTTTTACTACTAAAATTTTTTTTTATTACCTTTAGAGATTTTCTGATGCGCTCATCCGCAACTTAATTCATACGATTTTGAGCAATTATGAAATCGATCTATGAACAATGCAATTAGATCACTAAGCACGTGCTCGACCAAGGCTAGGAATTCCCATTAGGAAATATCGATTTGAATTTTCGTGTAAAATATTTTAATGAGTAATATTTAAAAAATTCCTCAGTTTATCGGATAAATTTTGTGCTATTAATTTTAACATTTTTCATAATTTTATTCATTAAAATATTTTAATCGAACATTAAAATTTATATTCGTAAACATACCTTAGTGTAGTCTGATATGTTTATGAGTAGTCTCATCCCTTTACTAATTAGTTAATCATCGATCGGTTCTATAATTGCCCAAGATCATTAAATTGTGGCTGTCTATAATAGTAATATCATAATAATCATCATAAAGCCTGTAATAGTAATGGAGAAAAATCTGATTAGAAGTAACAAATGGAATTAATTGGACTACAATTTAAATGAAAATTAGGATTAAAAATTTCAGCCCGGCATTGTGACCATGTCACAATAAATAATTGCTTGTTTTCTTTTTAACTTGCAAAATGTAAAAACCATCTTGTAATCAATACAGATTCTAGTTTTTACCCAGGCCCATGGGAGAATCCAGAACCAGTACAATTCCCATGGTTCGATTGCAATGGAGACAGCCGGGTGGCAAGGAAAGATTATTTAAAAATTTTTCTGTAATACTAATTTATTTAAATTTTATGAAAAATATTAATTATTTGATTAATCTATATGTATAAATGAGGATGTTTGTTTGTTCGCTGTACAGTCCTAGGCAGTTCCACCAATTGCTACGAAACTCGGTAGTTACATGTACATAAACCTAGCTTAAATAATGTCGTACATCCAATCCCAAAATATCGATTGGATTTTTGTAAATCAATTAATTTCTACCTATATTCGATATGCTGATTTACAGATAGCATCATCTACTGGCAAAAATTTAACAAAATAATAAACTAAATATAATTTTTACAAAAATACAATTTAAAAAAATATATATTATATTAAATTAATTACTGCGATAATTTTATAGCGCGAAATAGATGCTCTATTTCATTACTGAGACAGGTAGCATATAGCAGTTCTAATAAGTGCCCTCCAGTAGTCGAGCGGATAAAACCACCGAACTCCGGTAGTTTTTTTATTTATTTTTTTATTTTTTACTCTTTCCGACCTGTGGGCTCTATTAGAGTAGTGTTGGTCATGTATCTAACTCCGTTCTTGTAAAACGTTAAAATTGAATTAAGGAAGGACAGTAGACAGGGGGACCCAAATGGTTTAATTTATTATAGGTCTGTAATTGTTGAAAATTGCAGTCCAGTTATAACCGTCGTTACTCGAAGCATATTTCATGGATCATCTTGGACCAAGTTTTGTCATTTCTCTTCACGAATGAGAACGTTAAGGAATTACGAAGACATAAACATGTACGAAAGGAACTGCCAGATTATTTATCGGCTGTAATAAGGCTACTTTAATGATTAGATATAAATTAATTTGGCTATAGGTAGGCAGTTTCGATGATTTATTTAATTAAAAATAAATTTAAATATTAAACTTATTATCAGAGGGAAAGAAGCGAGAGGATTGGGCCAGCCACCCCGCGGGAAGTGGGAAGAAAGTGGGCCCAGGCCATGGGTCGAGTCGTCACGAAATTTTTATTACCAATAATTTACAGGTAACCCCCGTATAACACGGTAGTTACGTTCCGAAAAATTGCCGTGTTATGCGAATCAAAGAACTAGTACGAAAAGGAGGATTAGGTTCCAAAAATTAAAAAACATGCTACTATATTTTCATAATTAAGATAAATATCTTTATTAAAATTTTCTTAAGTGATACATATTAATATAAATTAAACAATGTTTTCTTTGTCATCACTAAAAGCACTATTAACCGAGAGCGTTTTATTTTTGGCAAGTTATCGTTATCCTCTGAGCATTTTTCTGCATTATTTTCAGATTCATGCTTTACCTTTTGCAAAAAGTGTATGTAATTTTAGATTGCTTGCTTCTAGTTAAAAGATCTTTATAAATTTCCTTATATGGTGCTAAGCACTTATGGAATAAGGGAAAAACATCTGGCAACACCAGAAGCAGAAGCGTCGAGATCTGGCAAAATTGAAACAATTTTCGCGAAGGACCATGTGTATGGAGACGAGAAAAGAAAATTTACACACTGAAGTACTAATAGTTCACGAAAATAATAATTTTCGTGAACTATTAGTACTTAAGTGTGTAAAAATTTATTACATTTCATGTTGTACGAGGGTTTTACCCA